GAAGAGAGTTACATTAGGTTGACAACATCAAATGCTGTTAGTTCTCGCCGAATCAGCAAGGATTGTATTAAATGATTCAGGACCACAGAATGCTGAATATTAACTTTACCAACTTTCTTGTGTTGCCGTGTTTCCATTTTAAAGCCATCTTGATCAACTTAAACCCATTTAGATGATCTTATTCAAAGGTCAAAGTCTTAGTGTAGACCGTTAGGTACTCTGTAAATGTTGATAGTGTTATATTTTAACCTGTATCCAATATTACTTGCCCTGAGAGCAGATCCATCGCTGTCTAAATGATCACTTCTCTTGATCACTCAAATTTCAGGTGCGAGAATTTTGATACGCCTTCACTTTGTGTCACAAGTTTTATTGAATCGCGAACCTACACAGGAGGACATTCCGTCTAACAGAAGGCGAATGAACCAAATTCAGAGGCATAATGAATGTTTGCTTGTGATTTCTTATCAATTAGTAAAATTAGATCTTTATGTTATTTAGCTTGAGAATTCTGGGATACTTCTGTAAGAGTGTTACCTATGCTAAGGCTCAGATAATTGATGGCAAATGTCAACCTTATATTTGTTTTTCAAGTTCTTTGATTTCTCTATCTCAAACTCTGTAGGAATGAATGAAAACTGAGGTACGGTAACCAACTGCCTTGTTAGATAACATTAACAATGCCCGAAATGCTTAACTCAGGTGCAAGGTCACATTCTTCTTAAATTGTACCAGTTCTGACTTACCCTCACATATCACATGGACTCTTGAATCATGGTCCTGGACTTGACTGGACCATGTAAGCAGTGGCGGACCAAAAAACAAATGTTAGGCTTTTACAAATGTCATCAATTTCATGCCCTAAGCTTGAAACAAAAACCTCAATGTTTTAATAACCAACTTGAGTGAAACCCAACAAAGTTGTTGGGTCCCGGTTGATCGGTTTGACCGGCAGTCAAATTGGGTGACAAAACTTTTAAATTCGCAAATATACCCTCAAAATCATTTAAGTCCTATACGTTTGAAATTTAGCAAACACCTTAAATACAAATCAGTCGGTGACTGGTTGGCTGTGACGACACTCCAAGTGCAATCCTAATCGTCCTTTGAGCCCATTCCCTAGAAAACTACCTAAGATCTGGTCGAAATCGATTCAATTTTGGCTAGTCTCCACATGTTGCGTCACATCCAGGCTAGATCTCACGCACACTTTCCCATCACCTCGAAAATAATCCCTCTTCCTCCTGACCAAAACCTATCTCACCCTACTCTCTTTAGCCTTGCCAATTGCCAGCAAAAGCCGGGTGTTGCAACGGTAAATTTTTCGATTTCCGGTCGATTCACTCACTGGAACATTGTCACCATTGCACTCACTGTCACTTTCTCTTCAAAAACCCTAACATCCCGACTTCAATTATTGTCGATCATCATCTTAAATTCTAGGTTACCTGGCCTAGTGAAGCTTCTGAGTCCTGGTTAAACTGGTTAACCGACCGATCCGTTAGGTTTTAAAACAGTAAAAACCCATTGAAATAAACCCTATTATCTCGATGCCTTAAGAAAGGATTTTTGTGCTATTGAAGCACAACCCGCCAATGAGAACACGTGTTGACATGGCACATTCTTATTGCATATTTGTATATACATCGGTGCTAACTCATAATCCCTTTGTATAACTATTAGCTTAAAAACAAAATCTAATAGACTAAATCCTTACGAGATCCAAATTTTGGCCAACACTCTGTCAGCACCAACATGGGGAGCCTCCCATTCATTAACTCCAATGCCAACTTTTATATCTTACATTCTCACGCCTGCTCGAACCCTGTTACCTCCATGATTTCCTTAACGGCTATATTTCTTTGTGTTCCATAATTTAAATTAATAATTCAACTCTTCCCTCCCCAACGGTCCATTCTTCACTACCCAACAAATCGAACTCTTACATAAATTCATCTTCCAAATTTCTCCTCTCACCCTCGTTCAATCTCATTCATCTCTAACCAAAATGGATTCTCTTACTTCTATGTTCTGCTCCTGCTTCTCTCCTCCTCCTCTGCTGCTAATAAGTTCAACATGTGGCGAAAAATCATCGGATGAGTTGCTGAGAGTTTGCTGAAGTGGGGATGAAGGCAAGTCGAAGAAGGAGCTCGTGAGGTTGTCAAAAAGGCGAAGCGAGGCGAGGAAGAAGAGAAAGTGGTTCTGTGAGAACTTTTGGTAATGGAGTTTAGTGGAAAGGAAATGGCTGCTTCCTCCGGCTGCCACGAACGGTCCGCGTTGCTCCCCAGCTCGGGATTGGAGGTCGCCGGTGCTCAGAGGTAAGATTTCAAGAATAAGTCGCTTCTGGGAACCATTGAGAGGTTAGTCAAGTTCAGGCACGAGGTTGTTTTTGTCAGTTTTATAACATTTTAGCACTGTTGAATTTAATTTAAACTGTGGGTCCAAAAAGTTTGATAAATGGTATTGTAGTTTATTTAATTTAATTAATATTAAAGTTTCATTTACATTTAAGCAAAATTTGACCTTTAATCTTAATGAATATTAAAGAAAATTATGAAATTAAAAAAATTTCAATGTGGTGGTTATTAAATTACCAAAAAATTAATTATTAAATTATTGATGTATTTTTATTTTATTTTAGAGTACAGACATGGCGCAGAACTGTAGAAGGGGCTCGAAGGTTTTCATGGAGAAGCATTACAATCGGCATAACGTTTGATAAACGACATCGTTTAGTTTTTGCATGTGCTTAGATGTTAAAAGGCTACATTTTTTTTTTTTTGTCTTTTGTATATTTATGGTTTCTAATTTACATGAAATTTTTTATTACATTATTGTTTGTAATTTTAAAGGAATAAATCAAAGTTTTAAGCACAATCTCATTTGTGTAAATTTAATTATATGTTCTTATTGGTAGAGTAAGAGTTAAAAGTTCATCGGATTATTGCAAATCAATATTTTAAATTACTCTTTATTTACTATTACAAGTCCAATCTTTGATATTCAGTGAATGATGAAGTAATAAATTAACCACTAAAAACCTATTTTAAAGCCAAAGTATCTATTGTAATTATATGAAATAGAATGTTGGAGGAAATTACATTTTCATCCCGAGATCTTTCAAAGTACCCTTTTGTTTAAAAAGAATTTGAAAGTCACACTATCATTCCTATTGGTGAACACGTTAATGATGAAAGGATAATTTCGTCTTTTGATATTATAAGAATTAACACACAATTATTTAATAAAATTATAAATATTATTAATCATTAATCTTATTAATTTGGGGTTATTAGTTATTATCATATACTCATTCTCCGTTAATGATGAAAGGATAATTTCGTCTTTTGATATTATAAGAATTAACCACAAATTATTTATAATAAATTATAATATTATTAATCATTAATCTTATTATTTTGGGGTTATTAGTTATTATCATATACTCATTCTCCATAAATTATATACCTTTTATTTGGTAAGTTATATACCTTTTATTTGGGGAGTTTTTAATATATACCTTTATTTTAGTCTTATGTAAGAGACTCCGAGCAAATGGCATACTTCATTGCGGTTTGCTAATCGTGACTTCGTTAAGGAAAAGTTTCACTTTTGAGAACCCTTAGGGATGATTTTGTAAATTTCCCAGAACCTTAGTATCAATCAATCTTCCATGGGATGGTGAGCTTGGCAATAAATCAGAACCGTTCATGAAAAATAGTTTTATGTTGGGGTCAAAGGACGGTGGCACCTCGCACCTCAATCTTTTATTGCAACTACATGGGATGATTTTTTTTGATCCCTAACGTTTGGTCTAAATACCTAAGAGTCTAGTATAATTTTATAATAACATTTTAACCCCTTTCAATTGATAAAATTTCCAACTTTTGTCTCGCCGAGATGAATCAAAATGTTACTAAAAATTTCTGTCAAGACTCAAATGTTACTTAGGTTAAACCTGAGGGATGAAAATGTAAAAATTTTCCAACTACTTTATAAGATGAGATTGAGTTGGGGGTGTGGTTGTAATAATAATAATAATGTTTGGTAAACGAAATACAGTTGAAATTCACATGTCACAATTCACATGTTTTTGCCCTTTTAGTTTTGGAAAACAACGTCCCTCTACCCAAAACTCATACACAATCAAAAGGAGTTGGGGGAGATGTAATTCTTCCTCCTGGCACAAAAATATTATCAACTCAATGGTTGTTATCGATCCGATAAAGTTATCAAGTCAATACCGACGTATCATGTAAAAGAGTTTTCTGTTGTTATAGATGAAGAAAATATGATATAATTTGGTAAGATATATTGATATAATTGCTGACATCAATATAATTATATTATTGATGAAAATTTTTAAATACAGTATTCAGACGTCTTATTTATTTGGTTTTTTTTTTGTTAGACTAACATTCTTGACGATAAGAATTCATTCAAAGGAAAAATTTTAGTCAAATTTCTTATATTAGTAATTTTTGCTCTTGATACTCAAGAATGCAAGTTAAAATTTGAAAAAAAAAAAATAGGACAATACACTAAAAGAATAAAATTTCAACCAAATTAGAATCATTGTAATGGAGAACGCAAATTCGAACATTCACTAAATGTTAAATAAGCCCCTTTTGGTTGAGATTTATGATGTCAAATACTATAATTTTAATCTCAAAATAAATGGGCTCAAGATTTATTATTTGATCATTTTCTATTCCCTAAAGAAATTTTAATACCCTATTTTGCTTAGATTTTAAATTTTAAAATATAATTTCAGTATTATAAATTTAAACCAAATCTCTCTTTAGATCTAACCCTAAAACTTATATGAAAAAAATAAAAAATGATTGAATTCTAAAGTCAAACTTATAATATACAAGAAGGTAGATTTAAAAAATTAATTAAAAAAATTAAATTAAAATATAATTTTTTCTAATTTGTCAACTTTTCAGTTTTTTTCTTCTAGTTTCAGCACTTCTTCCCCCTCTCTTCTCTTCTCTTCTCTTCTCTTCTCCCTCTCTCTCTCTCTCTCTCTCTCTCCACAAAAAGTCTCCAAAAAGAAGCTCTCTTTTGCTCTTTCTTCTTCAGCCATTCTCCCCATTTTCTCGCCAAAAATTTCATTTCTTTTTCTCACTTTGATCCCTCAATCTTTCACCTTTCTTTGTCTTACATCATCACTTTGATCCTTCACTTGCTTCACTTGTCTTCTCAAGTTTCATTTTTTCGCATTCTTTCAATCTCTCTGTGGTTCTTCACTTTGATCCATCAGTCACCACCATGAAAAACTCAATTTTTTTACTACCCTTTGCTTAATTTCAAATCTTTTCACTACCCTTTTGTTAAATTTTCAATCTTTGCACTATCCGTTTGTTAAATTTTCAATCTTTTTCTCTACCCTTTGAAAAAAAATTCAATCTTTTTTCAATCCTTTTGTTTGGATTTTCAATCTTTGACCAAAAGGGTATTGTTATAAATTGAAATGAGGGATGTTGTCGTGGCTGGCAAGGATAGCTCTGGTTTGTTGGAGACCGGTCAGGAGATATGCCCGTATGAACAAGGATAATATCAATTTGAAAGAGTTTGACTTTTCCGATTCGGCTCTTCGAGATAATCTTCTTTGGTGCAAGGACTTGGAGAAACACTCTTATGGTGACTTCTCTTTCGCTGTGGTTCAAGCCAATGAAGTTATAGAGGATCATAGCCAGGTTGAGATTGGAAGAGATGCCACCTTTGTTGGAGTCTATGATGGCCATGGTGGACCTGAGGCCTCTCGGTTCATTTGTGACCATTTGTTTCTTCATTTAATGAGTTAGTGATTCTCTTTTCTTTAACTTTGTTTTTCCCTTTTGGTTGTTTGTTTGTTAAGTTTTTTCATTTTTTTCTGGGGTGTTTTTGAGTGAAATTTTAAGTCTTTTTGTGTCGATATTTTAATGAGCTTTTTGTGTTGTGATCACACTTTGAAATACTGTGTTTAGGGGCAATTTTTGATGGAATATGAAGTGATGTTTTGATGAGGTTTTTGTTTGTTTGTTTTGTCTTGAATCTTGTTGGTTGGTGTATGCTAGACAAATTGTGTGATGTCATAGAGATTTGGTTTTGGTTTGGAGATCTTATTTAATGGAAATGGAACATCTTGTTTTTAGTGGATATCTCTTGTTGTTTATTTATTGCATGTGAATTGAATTTATGGTCAATATTCAAAGAGCTATGTGTCGATTTTGGAAATTGGGCATTTGGTTTTGTCTCCAAGTTATGAAATTTCCTTCTAGGAATTGTCTTGTTCGTATATCCTATTTTGGTTTCTTTACCTTTATTGCAGAAATGAAAGAAATGCTTTCAAGTGTTGAGTAAGATACATCCAATTCTTATGAAGTATTGTGTTCTTCGAAGAAATTAATCCGAGAAAAGAAAAAGTGGCATTTGTATTGGAGGCTTAATTGCTAAATAATTAAAGAAAGTGATAAAACTTTGTAACCGGAGTGATTCATACTTCACATATCCACAATGTTTAGTAGTCTGTGGTCTGTACACCACCTAAATTCAATGTATAGAGGAGAGTTTTTATGTTAATTCAGATAGATTGGATTTTCTTCTTACTTGTTATTAAGTATTATGTATCATAGGATTCTTTTGTGGGCATCACCTTCCAGTGCTCTTTGTTGTCTTTTAAGCGATAGGCTGCATCTTGTGATTATTTGACAGGGCTTGCTCGAGAAAACGGTGCCATTTCTGAGGATATTCTTAGAAGTGCTTTTTCTGCAACCGAGGATGGGTTTCTTACTCTTGTGCGTAGGACATGTGGAATAAAACCATTAATTGCAGCTATAGGGTCCTGTTGCCTAGTTGGAGTTATCTGGAGGGGTACATTATATGTTGCTAATGTGGGTGATTCTCGAGCTGTAATAGGTTCTTTAGGTAGATCGAATAAGATAGTTGCTGAACAATTAACAAGGGATCATAATGCAAGTATGGAGGAGGTCAGACAAGAACTCAAGTCATTGCACCCAGATGACTCGCATATTGTAGTTATGAAGCATGGAGTATGGCGTATTAAAGGCATAATTCAGGTTTACTTCTCTTTTTTCTGATACCTAGATTCTCATTTTTTGTGTTTTATGGCATTATATGTAGTTTTTTGTACATATGGGCCAGCCTCGAGGTTTAATAGAAACTGTTGGAACTTTTAATTGGCTTTCATTTTGACTCATGGACATAAGATGGTTCATGATAAAAATTGAAAAAGGTAAAGGCAGGCTAAAATATAAAAGTTTTGTACTAATTATGGTTGCAAGGTGGAGCAAATCCATCCATGGTCAATGGATTTAATATTTCTGCATCTGCATCTCATTTTCTAGAAGTCATTCAAGCATATAACATGAAATAGTTTAGGGATTAGTAAACAAGCGCCCTGCACCTATGCATCTTTTTTTCAAGATTTCACTCAAGTATAGCACATGAAAAAGTTTATGGTTTCAGGAAATATGCCCCCTGATCTTTCTCATTTTAAAATTTTCACTATCAGATTGTGTACATCTCTCTCTCTCTCTGTGCCTGTATGTTTGTGTGAATACGTGTTGCAAAATTTAGGCTAATGCATGTTATTTTATGAGAGAGGTTTCGCATAACTGAGGCTAGTCCTTTCAAGAGTTAATTGGAGTCATATGGGCCACTGTGAAGGCTTTCTGGATATGATTTCCTAGTAAAGTTACTTGCCCTGAGCAGATCATGGTGTGGTAGTAAATATTACCAAGAAGCTGTAATCTGGAGCTTCTGTGTCATGATAATCATTAATCACTCGGTACAAAAATGTTATTGCCTATCTAGTTCCGAGGTAGCTCTGAGGGTGTATGAGCTTGCTGGTTGTATTAGCTATACATGTTCCTTTTGGTGTTCTGGCATAAGGGTCCATTGGTTTTCACTGCCATATCTTTCTATAAGACTTTAGGTAGTGTCTGAGTAACCGCTCCAAAACTTTTGTTATGAAAAATTCTTGATTTAACCAGAACTGAAGCTAATTCATCTCATAACATTAATGGTGGTTTGAGAATAATCACCTGACGTTGGTTGGCAGAGTGAGCAGTTGGGGACTTTCTACCTGTTAGAATTAGTGGCGTCATAGCGTGAGGTCAACCCTTTTTGTCTCATTTTTACCTATAAATTACATCTATCTCAACCTTTAATATTATATATATTTCATTGCATTGTATCCATGCATGCATGCTCTATATTGTAATTGGTTTTTATTTTATATATCAATTGCTTGAATGCTACATCAGCAGATTTGTTGTTTTCAATGCCTTCGATTTGGTGGTCAACTAGGGTTTCTTTACCTTAAGAAGTCTGTCGAGAATTTCGATTGTTTTCACTGTCTTCTTTTCTGTATGTTTATGCCTTGATATTAGGTATCTAGATCTATTGGTGATGCATACTTGAAGCAACCAGAGTTTTCTCTTGATCCTTCGTTTCCACGATTCCACCTCCCTGAACCAATCCGTCGGCCTGTGCTGACAGCAGAACCATCAGTTTACACACGAGTTTTACAGCCCAATGATAAGTTTCTCATTTTTGCATCCGATGGGCTGTGGGAGCACTTAACAAATCAGGAGGCAGCCGAGATCGTTCATAATAACCCACGAGATGTATGATCTCTTAATGCATCTATTTCATATTTCAATTTTGTATTCAATCCATTCATTTAATATCTCTACATTTCTTTCCTTAAATGTTAGGGAGTTGCCAAAAGACTTCTTAAAACAGCTTTAAATATAGCAGCGAGGAAAAGGGAGATGAGGTACGATGATCTAAAGAAGGTTGAAAAGGGAGTTAGACGGTTTTTCCACGATGATATTACAGTGGTTGTCATCTTCGTAGACCATGATTTGCCGGAGAAGATGATCTCTATACCTGAGCTGTCAATGCGAGGGTTCATAGACACTGTTGGACCTTCAAAATTCAACATTCTCCAGGGGCACGATGCAAACGCAAGGTCCTACGTCTGAAACAACACAACCAAGTCACCTGAAATGCTCATTTTGGTCATGGATGACCAGGTTAAGAAAGTTTCAATATCTATCCAATGTTTTTTCAACATTTTGTTGTTGTTTCTTTCGGCTTTTCCTTTCATATTCTCGTCGCTCTGTCCAAGTACCCTTTATCCGAAAATTATGAGCCTGATTTCTTTATCATTGAATGCACCCTTTGGTGATGATCCTAAGAAGTTTAGGTCAATCTTTTACATTCAAACTTTGCTTAATTTATTAACATCTATTTCAATATCAAGGTTGTGCTTTGATTTTGATCATGTTTCATGAAGTTGGTGAGATATCTTTGCTCTTATTTGTAGTTACAGTCAGACACATTTTTAAAAGTTGATAATTTTCAAGCCAGACATTATTCTTATAGTTTCTTTGAGTCAAAGAGGGAGTAGCATGGTGAACACTTTAAACCAAGATCTTGAAATTGGTCATAATTTGATCATCAATTTAACAACTTTGTTATCTTAACCAGAAATTTATGGTACAAACTTTGTGTGGGATCGTCTTAGCGAGTTACCTATGAAATTGAGTATAATTTTCTCAAGAAGAAATATTCCGGATTTTTTCTTGAGAAAAAATCTTCCATTCTATTGTCATTTGGTTTATTGAATTAAAAATTAAGAATTTGTGTTATAATAACTTGATCCCCGTAAGAAGATTGAGAAAATAGTAAGGGGAAGATTCAATGATATTTTACCAAACCTCAGTAAATTTATGTTGTAGTTAATCCTAATGTTTAAGATCACACTTAGTGAGTAATATACAACAACATCATTTTAAAAATAAATAAAAAATTAGGGAAATTATGTAGATACTATTAGAGATTCATAAATGTTGTTGTCAATTTTTCAAATATATATATAAAATTATTTTTTGAAATAAATTGTAAATAATAAACTTTAACATTTATACTTTATAAAACTAATTAATTGACATCTTAAATTTTATATGAAAAATCAAATTCAAAGATTTTTTCAATGAAAAGTAATAATTATTCTCACTATATAAAATTTTAGTTATTATAATTTGTTCTAAATTGCAAACTAAGATTTTTTTTTAACATGCACTCTACTTAGATATTAAAGTCTCCTTTACACACAAAAAAAAAAAAAAAAAAAAAATGGGCTGGGTCTGCCACTATCTATATTACATATTAGCCGAAGTAAAAAGAAGCCATTAAACAAAGGCTCACTGGCTCAGGTTTTCATTTTTTTATTTTATTTTTAAAATTATAATTATCAACCCTTTGCTTAAAGTTTCAATCTTTTTTGGTTGATCACACTTCATTTTTGCTTGTGAACCAAACCCATCTCAGAAACTCACTAATCTTTAGCTTTAACCAGAAGGGTTTTGTTGTAAATCAAATGTGGGAGTGGGATACCACTCGCTTGTGGAAAAAAGTCAGGGAATTTGTCCAGAAGAACGATTATTCTAGTCAAGACCCACTTACTTGGAGCAGAGAGTTGGAGAAACACTGTTATGGTGACTTGTCCTATGCTCAGGTACAAGCCAATAATGATATGGAGGATCAGAGTCAGGTGGAGATAAGACGAGATGCCACCTTTGTTGGAGTCTATGATGGCCATGGTGGACCTGAGGCCTCTCGTTTCATTTGTGACAATCTGTTTCTTCATTTGATGAGTTAGTGCTGTTTTTTTCTTCACTTAATATATGCATTAGGTTTTTTTTGAGCTAGTTTGTGGATAATTTTTTAGCTTTTGGTGGTTAATTATACATATATTTTTGCTTGAATATGGTTTTTGTTGATGTTTCAATGAGCTTTTGTGGTTGTGGTTGCACTGTAAAATACATGTTTAGGGGCAGATTGATGGTATCTGAAGTGATATTTTGATGGCGTTGCTTTATGTTTGTTTTGTTTTCAATCGTGATACTTGGTGTAGGCTTGGTAAATAGTATGATGTCACAAAGATTTTTTTGAGATCCTGTTTATTGGAAATGGAAATGGATCATCTTGTTTTTAGTGTAGAGCTAGTAGTGTTTATTGAGTGTGTATAGATGGAATTTATGGTCAATTTTTAAAGAGCTATATAGGCTGTACTTGTATTGGAGGCATAGTTGCCGCAGTCTGTTGACCAGCGGAAACACCCGGAACAAGGAGGATTTTCATTTTAGTTCAGATGAACTAGATTGTTTTCTTACTTCCTCTTGAGTACTATGTGTAGTTCTGGATGCTTTTGTGAGATCACCGTTCATTGTCTATTGCATTGTTTGGTGTCTTCACATGATTGCTAAAGTGCTAGGTTGCATCTTGTGTGCCATTTCCCAGGGCTTGCTCGAGAAAATGGAGCTTTTTCTGAGGATAATCTTAGACTTGCTTTTTCTACAACTGAGGATGCATTTCTTCATCTTGTGCGTAGAACATGTAGAATAAATCCACCAATTGTGGGGACAGGGTCCTGTTGCCTAGTTGGAGTCATCTGGAGGGGGACATTATATGTTGCTAATGTGGGCGATTCCCGAGCTTTAATCGTTTCTTTGGATAGATCAAATAAGATAGTTGCTGAACAATTAACAAGGGATCATAATGCAAGTATAGAGGAGGTCAGACAAGAACTCAAGTCATTGCACCCAGATGACTCGCATATTGTAGTTATGAAGCATGGAGTATGGCGTATCAAAGGCATAATTCAGGTTTGCTTCTTCTATTGCATTTTATATATTTTTTGGTACATATTGGTTTGAATGTGTATGCATTGATACAGGTATCTAGAAGTATTGGTGATGTATACTTGAAGCGACCAGAATTTTTTGGTGCTTTTCCAAAGTTCTCCTCTATATCACTCTGTCGGCCTGTGCTGACAGCTGAACCATCCATTTACACTCGAGTTTTACAGCCCAATGATAAGTTTCTCATTTTCGCATCTCATGGGCTGTGGGAGCACTTAACAAATCAGGAGGCAGCTGAGATTGTTCATAATAACCCACGATATGTATGATACTTTATTTCATCTAGTTCATATTTCACTTTTATTATAATTCCATTCATTTAACTTCTGCATGTCTTTCCTTAAATGTTAGGGAGTTGCCAGGAGACTTCTTGAAACTGCTATTGATATGGCAGCAAGGAAAAGGGAGATGAGATACACAGACGTGAGGCGGGTTGACAAGGGAGTTAGGAGCCATTTTCATGATGATATTACTGTGGTTGTCATCTTTATAGACCATCATTTGCTGGGGAAGAGGAACTCTGTACCAGAGCTGTCGATTCGAGGAGGGTTCATTGACATTGTTGGCCCTTCAAACTCCAATGTTGTGCAAGTACCAGGTCCTCTATTTGAAATATCAAACCCAGCAACATGAAGGGTGCGTTTGGTTCAGTGAATTGGATTACTGGAATCTTATATTACGTTGAAGATTACTAAGAATCTTTAGGAAAATGTGTTTGGTTAGTTGGTGAGTATGTTATATTAATATGTTTGGTTAGGGGGAATAAATTGATGGGTATGTTATTTAAATTACTAAATTGCCCTCTTTTTAAATATTAATATAGTATTATTTTTATTATTAATTTTTGAATAATTTTTTTAACCCCCAATATTTCAGATTTAGTTAAGTTTATGTAAAACTTTAATTTATGACAAAATAACCCCCACCCCCTGTTGCCACAGTAAACCACGTCAGAAGTTTTCGAAAGTCGTCGTGAGTAGCTCATCGTGACCACGAGGCTCTGATATGGCCGTTTCTAGCCATATTGATGGTCGAAAACGGCCATATCAAGCCAGATCGTTAACAGCCAGATTTGGGCCAGATTTGGTCGCTAATGGCTAGGGATTTGGTAGGAAATGGCCAAGATAGATCTGACTATTTTCGACCAGATCTGGCCTGATATGATTGTTTTCGGCCATCAATATAATTGGAAATGACCATATTGAAGCCTCTTGGAGCCTTCCAACGAATCTCGGTCATTTCTAGGGACTTCGGCGACTTTTCGACGTCGGTTCGTGGTGGTTAGTCCACTATCGGCGGTGGTGGTCTGTAATTTGTTTTAAATATAAGGACATTATTATCCAAAAACTTAATTAAACAAGGGTAAAATTGAAATGCTATATTAATGTAAATTTATTTTAAAATAGGGGTATTTTTGTCTAAAATTTTTATTAATAAAGGATAAAATTATAACAAAAATAAGATTACCAAGGTAATCTTATAATACCTAAGAAAATAGAGGTACTTAGATTACCTCAAATATTATCAACAGTAACAACCATTGGTAATGCAAGATTATCGAAATCTTATATTACTTGACAACCAAACATGGTAATCAAGTAATATAAAATGACATAACCCCAGTAATCTTTCATTACCCCCAACTAAAACGTCCTGAAATGGCAAGTTTGGTTGTGGAAGACCGCGTTAAGAAAATTCCTATATTTATATGAATCCACTATTGTTTTGGGCTTCATAGATGGTGCTTGAATTTGATTGTGTTTCCTTTGTGTTGGTCTCAATTCTTCACCTTATTTCATAGTTTCCGCATGGCATCCCACTTATCATAGGGACAATTACTTTAAACCTCCGCAGGTTTCGTTAAAACATGGTCTTTTTTGCTAGTTTTAACAGCACAAGACTAAATGATCTTATATCCCCTCAACCTCCTATGCCTAGCAATCCAATGGCCCCAACCACACCCACCAGGCCACCCTTTGATGCCCAGCAACCCCATCCATAACAACCACCATCACCACCACTTTCCATGTAGCATCAATGAACAGCCCAAGAATGGATCTCAACAGCAGCTTACGGGTCCCATCATATCTTTCACCACTAACTTCAATAAAAAGAAAAAAAAATTCCACCCTAAAAAACAAACCACCCCCAACAAATTAAATCTCAAAGTAACATATGCTCCCCCATTACGGGGAGTTGATTGATTGTAAAGATTGCATTGTAACCATTTTCTTTGTAGTTGGATGACAAAACTTTAGTCTGGTGGATTATTTAGAGGTCTTATGTTTGAGTCTTGAGAGTAACTACTTATTACATTTGTGTAATTATTTTGGTTTATTGGGTTTGTAGGGTGTTATGTGACACTGAATGTGGGTTCGGACATCTCAGGTACTAAAAACAGATTGCGTTGGATGGCTTTAGGGCATATGGATTTTTTTTATTCTTAGTTTTAACTTCTTTATAATTTCATAGTTGGGATGTGATCTATTTTAACTTAAATTTTTTATTTAAGTTGTTGATTTGTTACAATTCGATGATTTAAAAATTGATGAAGTAGTAATGAAAATAATCACTTCCGAAATAGATCTTTATCATATTTGATTTATTTTGTATCATCTTTATATAACTTTTGAATTGATATATTCTTAAAATTGTTTTGGTACTTACTTTTTTTTTTTTTTTAAAGAATACCTTTCATTTAATAATAAAATATGGTTTTAAAATATGAATTTACTTTTTAATTACATATAAAATAATATTAAAATTTTATTCTCATTTATATAATTCTGTAAAGACTAAAATACCTTTACCAACAAGATAAAAATTTAAAAAGATTTGCAAGTCGCCGTTGGTGGTTTTCTACTGGATTACAGGTTGGATGCGGACCATGTGGTGGATTCCTCGCCCACGAGATGACAAGAGTTTCTTTGGGTTTTGGTTGGGATGAGAATAGCCAAACACCCACCTGTGAAAGTTTCCAGCTGGAATCTCGTTGTTATTAAAGTCAAAGAATCAATTTTGTTACTTCTGAGTAAACGACATGTTCCCACCTAAGGTATGGCCAAATGGCAAGTTTTCACTTGCTTTATAAATTTCAAATTCTCACCCATAAATAAATACTGTTAGGGTATATTTAGTTCAAAAAATGTTAGATTATTGAGAATATTAGATTACTGAAAAGTAAGATTAACTTAAAGATTATTGAGAATCTTTAGAAAAATATGTTTGGTTAATTGGTGGGTATGTTGTATTAATATGTTTGATCAGGAGGAATAAATTAGTGTGTATATTATTTAAATTACCGAATTGTCTTTTAATTAAATATTCGTATTATATTATTTTTAACTATTGATTATTATTTGGATTATATAACCTCTTTGCATTTAAAAACTTAGCAAAAACAACCCCATAATATAAGTTTGAAAAATCAACAAAGCACTCCTACCAACCCAGCCACTGTTGGTCGCCGGCGACCACCACAGGCCACCGACAACTGGTAACCTAATGGCGCACGGAAGGCAGGAAATGGTCTCCGTGCATCGTATGACCATTTATGGGTAGAGATTTAGTCAGAAATGGTCAGACGTGACATATCTGGTTGTCGATAGTCGGATCGATGACGGATTTGGCCTTTGACGGCCAGATTATATCTGGCCTTTGACGGTTAGATTATATATGGCTGTCAATAGCTAGATTTGGCACGAGCTGGTCGTTTCCAGCCTTCTGTGTGTCGTTCTAGCGGCGGCGGCTGGCTGTGGCAGCGGTTGCTGGCAACAGGTGGGTGGGTTGCAATTGGTTTTGAATTCAAGGGTAATTTTGTCCAAAAAGTTAATTAATTATGGTGAAATAGTAAAAACTATATTCATGTAAATAAATTTAAAAATAATGAAATTAATAAGAGATAAAATTATAACCAAAAAAAGATTACCTTGGTAATCTTAAAATACCTAAGAAAATGGAGGTAATCAGATTACTTCTAATATTACTAACAATAACTACTATTGGTATTTGAAGATTACCGAAATCTTATATTACTTGACAACCAAACGTGGTAATTAAGTAATATAAGATGACATAACTCCAGTAATCCTACATTGCCCCTAACCAAACGTTGGTTTATGAAATTTTGGATTACTGGAATTTTATATTACCTTGAAGATTACTGAGAATCTTTAAGAAAATGTGTTTGGTTAGTTGGTGGGTATGTTATATTAATATGTTTGGTTAGGGGGAATAAATTGGTTGGTATGTTATTTAAATTACTAAATTGCCATCTTTTTAAATTTAATATAATATTAATTTTATTATTAATTTTTGAATAATTTCTTTTAACCCCCAATATTTCAGATTTAGCTAAAACAACCCCGCTTATATAAAACTTTGATTTATGACAAAATCACCCCCACGCCCTGCCGCCTTTTGCCGCCACCACAAACCACTGTCGGAAGTCTCCAAAAGTCACCGTGACCACGAGGCGAGAGTTAGCCGTTAACATGGCCGTTAACGACCAGATCTATTTTGTCTGGAATAGATCTGGCTTGATATGACCGTTTTCGACCATCAATATGGCCGGAAACAACCATATCGAAGCCTCCCAGCGAATCTCTCTCATTTTTAAGGACTCCGACGAGTTTCCGGCGGCGGTCCGTGGTGGTTGGCTTGCTGTCGGCGGTGGTGGCTAGGTGGTGGTCTATAATTTGTTTTAAATATAAGGGCATTATTGTCCAAAAACATAATTAAACAAGGGTAAAATTGAAGTGGTATATTAATGTAAATTTATTTTAAAACAGAGGCATTATTATCTGAAATTTTTATTAATAACTGATAAAATTGTAACAAAAGTAAGATTACTAAGGTAATCTTACAATACCTAAGAAAATTGAGGTAATCAGATTACCTCTAATATTACTAACAGTAACAATTATTGGTAATGCAAGATTATCGGAATCTTATATTACTTGACAACCAAACATGATAATCAAGTAATATAAGATGACATAACCCCAATAATCTTCTATTACCTCCAACCAAACGCCCCCTTAAGGATTTTTAGGCTGGATGCTATTATCATATTACTCTTGACTAATAAATTAATAAATTATTTTTTTAACCCCAAATTAATAGAATTAAAATAATCATCCAACTTTTAAATTTATTTCAATAAGACCCGCTCCTTCAGGGTGCGTTTGTTTCACAATTTTCTCCTAATCATATTCCTATCCTATCCAAATATTCACCCACTTCTTCAAGATGATCAAAATAAAAACTTTTCCAACCGCTGTCCAAACCACCACCACAACCGGCCAAACCACCATCATAGCCCATTCGAAATCCATTCAAGGTAATTTTATAGCAAAATCTTCTACAAAATTTCATCAATCATTCCCCTTGTCCTTTCTAATTCAACAAGAAAATTCATCTTCTCATCCATGTTTATCAAAATTCATTAACTCAAATCTTTTAGTGTACCTAATTGAAGTGGAATAACGAATTGAAATGGAATAACGAATTGTTTACATTCCACTTCTTAAGTTTCAAGGGCCAACCTATTGTCCCAAAACTTACAAGCATAGATCTCACAATACTCCTAGAATTAGGAACTCTACCCTTAAGGAGTTACAATCACAAATCACACAGAACTCCCAGGAAATTCACATTAAGAACAGTAGCAACGTGACAGGTAGAAAAATTAAAAACCCATTGATTGACAAATAAATAACACAATCATCTTTCATCAATACTTCTTCTCGAAGGAAATAAACACTGGACCCATATTTCAGAAACCCATTCAATGGTTCACTTAAATATCAATCGTATTAAAATGAATCTTTCATCTTTCAGATTTCTAATGTAAAATTCATCTATCTCTATTGGTTTTGTTGATTCTCTTCTTTTTTATTTTCATTGTCCTTACATTACCCGATTCCAAACCACCGCCATCACAACCGGCCCCCACCCAGGGGTGTGAATTTAGAATTTATGAAACCAGGGGTGGGAACTTCATTTTACGAAACTTTGGGTGAGAACATGTTGTTTTCTCTTTACTTTTTGTCTCGGGCCGTCCAATTTTCACATGGGTTTTAACTTTTCAGCCATACCTTTGCTTTGGTTCGTGTCCACTTTAATTAGATAATTATTTCTGAGATATTATATTATAATTCAAGTATGAACTTTTAAAAATTGTCAAAGAGACGGTAAAAGTTGCAAAAAATTTAATTAAAAAAATAACAAACAGTAATTTAGAGTTAAATTTAAGGGTAAAATAATAATTATATAAGTTTATATTATTTATTTAAAATAAACTAAAATTACTAAAAAAGAAAAAAAAAATACAAAAAGCCAAAATTAAAATACTGACAATTAAAATTAAAAAAGAAGAAGAAGGAGGCCAATAGCGCCAATTCTGGCCTTAATCTGGTCGGCATTAGCCTCGATTTGGCTAGGCGTTGCTGGATCAAGGCCATATCAGTCATAGAAGGTTTGATCTGGTCCATTGGGGCCAGACTGAACCACTTCAGGCACGACGACTTGGTGCAGAATCAATTTGACCAAGTGTGGCTAGATCGATTGCGACAATACGAGCTTGATAGCTGACGTTTTTGACTTTTTTTTTTTAGGTTTTTTAAAATATATATTTTTTCATTTTATTAAATTTATGTAAATTTTTAATTTTTTTTGATTTCCTTAAAAAATAATATTTGGTCCTTTTAGTTATTTTAATTTAAGAAAAAAAATTAGTTAAAAGATAAAAATTAAAGAAATAAAACTGAAAATAATATATAATTAGACAAAGGGTAGTGTCTTTATATGATAAATAAATAAATAATAAATTTTTGTTGAGTGTATTTGTTATTATTTTGAAACTCTTGGTCCTCTTGGATGTCTTTTATTTTCTCCAACCTTGAGGAGTAAATTGTTATAAACCTTGTCTTAAGCGATGGTTCACTTTTTGAGCCAAAAATGGTCTGGTTCCCAAATTTGATCAATCAAGCCAGTGAACAATCGGGAAGTACCCAAAAAGAAAGAAAAAAATAGTAGCTGGAGAGCTATGGTTGATGCAGTGGTCTCATATGTGGTGAACAAGATTGGGGATTATCTTATCCAAGAAGCTGCGCGCTTCCAAGGAGTGAAAAAAGAAGTGGAGTCGCTAAGGAATGAACTGGAATGGATGCAATCTTTCCTCAAGGATGCAGAAAGAAAACAAGTTGATAATGATGTTATAAGGAAGTGGGTATCTGACATTAGAGATGTCGCTTATGATATTGAGGATGTCTTGGATACATTTGCGCTCAAAATCGACGAAGAAGAGGCTCCGAATATAGTTCAAATCAAAGAAGAGACTCCGAATATAGTTCAAATCAAAGAAGAGACTCCGAATATAGTTCAAATCAATCAAGTAGAGATTCCGAAAGGGATGAGGAGAATTTCTGCTTCCATCAAGAAGTTTTCTTCGATTTTCAGTAAAGACTCAGGTCACAAAACACCCAATCATAAGGACTCCAGTAGTCACACAGAGTCCAGTAGCCACACAGAGTCTAGTAATCACACAGAGTCCAGTTTCTTCAGCAAAGGAGAAAAGGTTGTCAATCAGCGCAACATGGGCAAGAAGATCGAAGAGATTAGACAGAAACTTGGTGATATTTCTCGGAAACGTGAACAGTACCGCCTTGAGGATATTGGTAACAAAGGTGAAGGAAAGGACAATGCTCTTTACAGATTGAAGGAACTGAGGAGAGCCACCTCCTTTGTAGTAGATGACCATTTTGTTGGCTTTGAGGATGATGCTGAGAAGTTGTTGGCTAAACTTCTTGACAAGGAGCAGCCGCGGAGAGGCGTGATTTCTATTTTTGGTATGGGTGGTTTAGGTAAAACAACTCTTGCTAAAAAGCTTTACCACAACAATGATATCAAGAATAAGTTTCATGATCGAGCTTGGGTTTCAGTCTCTCAAGATTACAAAACTGAAGATATTCTTCGAAGGATTATAAAATCTTCCCACATCGTGCTTGAAAGGGAGGATGAAGAATCTTCAAGAAGTAAGAAGAAGATGAGTGCAGAAGAGTGGGAGCTGGAGAAACAAAAGATCAAAGAACGTCAATTTAAGGAGCTGGAGAAGATGAGTCAAGAAGATCTGGAGCGGTATCTTCAAAAATATTTGACTGGACGCTCATACTTGCTAGTGATCGATGATGTATGGCATAAAGAAGCTTGGGAGAGCTTCAAAAGAGCATTTCCTGATAACAATAATGGTAGCAGAGTAATTATTACCACCCGTATCAGAGAAGTTGCTGAACGTTCGGATGAAAAAGTTCATGTCCATGAGCTTCGATTTCTGAACCCAAGTGAAAGTTGGAAGCTTTTTTGTGATAAAGCCTTTCAAACCTCAAATGCAGATGAAGGATTAAAGAAGTTGGGAAGAGAAATGGTGGAGAAATGTAGAGGCTTACCACTTGCCATAGTTGTATTAGGAGGACTCTTGTCAACGAAAAAGCCACAAGAATGGCGGAAGGTACATCATCACATTTGGCAACATCTAAGGGACGATTCAATTCAGATCTCCTTTTTGTTAGCTTTAAGTTTTAATGATTTGTCTTATGAATTGAAGTTAAGTTTTCTCTACCTAAGTCTTTTTCCAGAGGATTTCGAAATCCATGTGGAGAAACTAATTCGATTACTGATGGCGGAGGGTTTCATACAAGAAAAAGAAGGTCAAATAATGGAAGAAGTGGCTGAGAGTCATTTGAAACAGTTGATTAATAGAAGTTTGGTGCAAATAGAGAAAAGATGTTGGGGGAGGATTGCCACATGTCGGGTTCATGATCTTTTGCGCGATCTTGCTATTCAGAAAGCAAAGGAATCAAATTTCGCATACTATTATGATGCAACCATACATTCAACTCCCCCTCCGGTCATATTATCTTGCCGAAGACAAGCTGTTTATTCAGAGGTTGATAGGCATTTGTGGTTTCAACACTATAATCAATTGTCGCGTTCCTTTCTCTTCTTTAACCAAAAGTGGGACGAATCACTCAAATTAACACAGCACTTACCACCTCTCTTCACCAGATTCAGATTGCTCAGAGTGCTCGATGTTGAGGGTTCTCAGAGTAAGAATATAGTACCGCAGAGTAAGAGAAGCTTACCTAAAGAGATTGGAAAGTTGATCCACTTGAAATATTTGGGCCTAAGGAATGCATACATATATCATTTTCCATCATCCTTTGTCAACTTGAAAAGGCTGCAAACTCTTGACATATATGGTGTTGAGTGGATTCTTCATGAACTACCAATTGATATTTGTAAGTTGCAGGAATTAAAGCATCTAATTGGAAACTTTCGAGGATCATTGCCGGTAGACAATTTGACAAAGCTTCAAACTCTCAAGTACATAAATATTCAATGTTGGAGTAAAATTAATCCTGAAAAGTTGGGTTATCTTCGGGAGCTTCGAATCGAATCGGATTTGGCATTATCAAAGGAGTTTGATTTGGAACCAATAGGCAAACTGAAAAGCCTTCAAATTTTATCAATTACGTTGCTGTCTGATCAATCTTTTGCTTCATGGCAGGCACTTGCTCATTGCACATGTCTTGTAGATTTGAGATTAAGTGGGAAGATAGAGAAACTACCAAAAAACATGGAGGAACTCTTACCAAATCTTGAATGTTTAAAATTATCAGGTACAATTCTCAAGGATGATCCAATGGCCTTGTTGGAGAATTTGCCAAACCTCATGATTCTTGTGTTGAACTTCGTTTCCTGTAATGAAAAGAAAATGATATGCTCGGCAAATGGTTTCCCTCGTCTTGAAATTCTACAATTTGATTTCTATGCATTGGAGGAGTGGCAAGTACATGAAGATTCAATGCCAATGCTTAGAGGCTTGAAGATTCCAGAGATCTCTAAGTTAAGAATTCCAGAAAGACTAAGATCAATCCCGCCTCCGGCTGAATGGGAATGTGAAGATGGCAGCGTACCTATTAATAACTCAAGCTACTTTCAACCCTGATCATGGTGAATGTGTAAATCAATTGTGTAAATCAATTTCCTTTCAATGTTCTCTTTTCAGGTTTTCTCCTTCATTTCTTGTTACAATGCAGTTCATTGTTTTCTAGATGCACTACTTCTCTTGCACATTGGTTTGTCTCCAAAATGAAGTTGTTATTTTCTATTGTTAAATGCATCAAATGCATGCCACTTGCAAATCATATGATATATGCTATTAATAGCTAGCTGGTAGTAAATAGCTTTTACAAATGGTGACCATTTAAAAATGTCATATCCTATACTTACCAATTCTCAAGATTTTTTTGTACATTTTGATTTCTCTGAATCAGACCCTTCATGTCATTGTAAGATGGCCCCCTTCTTCAACACCTTTCTTTGCCAATTCCCTGAGATGATTCACTTTCTTCCTTATCTCTAATGTTTCATCTTCATCATTTATGACTACACACAACGCTTCTTGATCTTATGTCTCTCTATCAAAGGCGATTCATCCGTCGACCAAACCTTCCAAAACTCATTGCCTATGGGACAACCCAAAAAAAGGCCAAGTGACCATTGGTACACCAGCACTCACCCCTTGCATGATAGAGTTCCAGCCACAGTGATAGTGTGTCAAGAACCCTTTCTGTTATTTGAGTTTTGCTGAATCTTGTCAAGCTTCCCAAACAGATGTAGAGAACTGAATTGGCTTGCCTGAATTGACCAAGGGAAAAATTACCCCACACACAAATACTCAGTCCTATTAGGATTGTGTTTCTGAAAACAAATTCTGCTAACAATCTTCAATTTTACAGCCACTTTTATATAAAAAAAAATAAAAATCACTTATACAACCCTATTTTAAGAGTCAAATAATTACTTTTATTGTTGTTTCTTTCGGTTTTTCTTTTCATTTCCGCATCATCGCCTTGTCCAAGTATTCATTGGCCGAAATTATTAGCCTGTTTTCTTTATCATTGTATGCACCCTTTGGTGATGATCCTGAGAAGTTTAGGTTTATCTTTTACATATTATTTTTACCGTTTCAAATATCGGGGTCTATATACATTCAAACTTCGTGTAATTTATTAACTTCTATTCCAATATCAAGGTTGTGCTTTGATTTTGATGATGTTTCATGAATTTGGTGAGATATCTTTGATCCCATTTGTATCTTGATGAGAAACTAAGGACACATTTGTAAACTTTTAACAGTTGATAATTTTCAAGCCAGACATTATTCTTATAGTTTCTTTGAGTCAAAGAGGGAGTAGCATGATGAACACCTTAAAACAAGACCTTTAAATTGGTCATAATTTGATCATCAATAAACAACTTTGCTATCTTAACCAGAAATTTATGGTACAAACTTTGTGTTGGATCGTCTTAGCAAATTATATATGAAATTGAGTATAATTGTCTCTCTTGATATTATCTACCCTTGCTTAAAGTTTCAATCTTTTTTGGTTGGTCACACTTCATTTTTGCTTGTGAACCAAACTCATCTCAGAAACCTGTCGTTGAATCTGAAGTTGGGGGAATAGATCCACTTGCCGTCGAAGTAGTTACAGGGCAGGGATGGGAGATAACCGGGTCGGATCTGTCGTTGGGTTTGAAAAATGTGGGTTGAGATAGTACTGAAGAAGAAGAAGAGAAGGAGGTCTTGCTGGAGATGGAAGCGAAAATGTGAAGAGAAAGGGAAAGAGTGAGAGTTTCTCTGGGTTTTGGTGGGCTCGAGTGGCCCTGGATGAGAAGAGCCGGACAAGAGCCATGGGTTTTGATTTGGGCTTGGGTTAACGGCGAGATATGAACCCCAAATGGCCAAAACTCCAAAAGAGAAAATGCAATTAGCTCCTCTCTGACATTGTAGTTTAATCACGTTTACCTACTTAAGAGGTAAAATACTTAAACGTTCCTGGGTTATACCTTTAATAACAATTCACGATACATTGATTTTTCATTTTTTTTATTTTAAAATTATAAATATCTACCCTTTCCTCAAGGTTTCACTCTTTTTTGGTTGATCAAACATCATTTTTGGTTGTGAACCAAACCCATCTCAGAAACTCACTAATCTTTCGCTTTAACCAGAAGGGTTTTGTTATAACTCAGAATGTGGGATACCACTAGCTTGTGGAAAAATATCAGGGAATTTAATTCTACTCAGGACTCACTTGGAGCAGAGAGCTGGAGAAACACTGTTGTTGCGACTTCTCCTATGCTCAGGTGCAAGCAAATAGTGTTATGGAGGAGCAGAGCCAGGTGGTGATAAGACGAGATGCTACCTTTGTTGGAGTCTATGATGGCCATTGTGGACCTGACGCCTCTTGTTTCATTTGTGACAATATGTTCCTTCATTTGATGAGTTAGTGCTTTTTTTATTCTCTTTATTTAATATATGCATTTTTTTTGAGCTAGATTGTGCATAAATTTTTAGCTTTTGATGGTTAATTATACATATATTTTTGCTTGAATATGGCTTTTGTTGATGTTTCAATAAGCTTTTGGGTTTGTGGTTGCACTATAAATACATGTTCTAGGGGCAGATTGATGGTATCTGAAGTGATCTTTTGATGGCGTTGTTTTATGTTTGTTTTGTTTTCAATCTTGATACTTGGTGTATGCTCGGTAAATAGTATGATGTCAAAAGATTTTTGGAGATATTGTTTATTTGAAATGGAATTGGATCATCTTGTTTTTAGTGTATATCTAGTAGTGTTTATTGAGTCTGTGTAGATGGAATTTATGGTCAATATTTAAAGAGCTATATAGGCTGTATGTGTATTGGAGGCACAATTGCCGCAGTCTGTTCACCACCCGAAACACCCAGAACAAGGAGGATTTTCACGTTAATTCAGATGAACTAGATTGCGTTCTTACTTCCTATTGAGTACTCTGTGTAGTACTGAATGCTTTTGTGAGATCACCATTCATTGTCCAGTGCATTGTTTGGTGTCTTTGCATGATTGCTAAAGTGCTAGGTTGCATCTTGTGTGTCATTTCCCAGGCTTGCTCAGGAAAATGGTGCGTTTTCTGAGGATATTCTTAGAATTGCTTTTTCTACAACTGAGGATGGATTTCTTACTCTTGTGCGTAGAACACAGAGAATAAATGCATCAATTGTAGGGATGGGGTCCTGTTGTCTAGTTGGAGTCATCTGGACGGGGACATTATATGTTGCTAATGTCGGTGATTCTCAAGCTGTAATCGGTTCTTTAGGTAGATCAAATTAGATAGTTGCTAAACAATTAACAAGAGATCATAATGCATCTGTGGAGGAGGTCAGACAAGAACTCAAGTCATTGCATCAAGATGATTCAAATATTGTAGTTTTGAAGCATGGAGTATGGTGTGTCAAAGGCATACTTCAGGTTTGCTTCTTCTATTGCATTCTATATATTTTTTGTACATATTGGTTTGAATGTGTATGCATTGATATAGGTATCTAGAACTATTGATAATGCATACTTGAAGCGACCAGAGTTTTTTGGTGCTTCTCCCACAGTTCTCCTATATATCACTCTGTCGGCCTGTGCTGATAGCTGAACCATCCATTTACGCTTGAGTTTTACAGCCCAATGACAAGTTTCTCATTTTCGCATCTGATGGGCTGTGGGAGTTCTTGACAAATCAGGAGGCAGCTGAGATTGTTCATAATAACCCATGATATGTATGGTACTTTATTGCATCTAGTACATATTTCACTTTCATTATCACTTCATTCATTTAATTTCTACATATCTTTCCTTAAATGTTAGGGAGTTGCCAGGAGACTTCTTAAAACAGCTTTAGATATAGCAGCAAGTGAAAGGGATATAACATACAAACTGCTGAAGCAGTTTGATAAGAAAGTTAGGAGGCATTTTCATGATGATAGCCCTGTTGTTGCCATCTTTAAAGATCATATTTGCTGGAGACGGGGATCTCCCTACTAGAGCTGTCGATTTGAGGAGGGTTCATCGACACTGTTGGCCCTTCAAACTCCAGCATTCTGCAAGTATCAGGTTCTCTCTCTGAAAATTCAAACCTGTAACATGAAATGGTTAGTTTGGTTGTGGAAGACCGCGTTCAGAAAGTTCCTATTTTTATATGAATCCAATATTGTTTTAGGCTTCATAGATGGTGCTTGAGTTTGATTATGTTTCCCTGAAGTTGGTCTCAATTCTTCACCTCATTTGATAGTTTCTGCATGGCATCCCACTTCTAATAATAGAGGGATAATTACTTTAAAGTTTAAACCTTGTTAAAAATGGTCTTTTTTGCTAGTTTTAACGGCATAAGACCAAAAGATCTTAATGTCCCCTCAACCTCCCATGCCTAGCAACCCAATGGCCCCAACCACACCCACCAGGCCACCCTCCGATGCCCATCAACCCCATCCATAACAACCACCATCATCACCGCTTTCCATGTAGCATCAATGAACCGCCCAACAATGGATCTCAACAATAGCTTACGGATCCCATCATATCTTTTACCATTAATTTTAAAAAAAAATGAATAAACCGAGGAAAAAATTCCAGCATAAAAACCTAACCTCACTCAACAAATTTCAAACTCAAAATAACATATGCTTCCCAAATTCTGGGAGTTGGTTCATCGCAAAGATTGTGCTGGGTGGCTTTAGGGTATATGGTTTTTTTATTTATTTTTATTTGATCTTTTTAACTTAAAATTTTTTATATAAATTGTTGATAAATTTTTTAACTGTTGATTTATTACAATTGAATGGTTTAAAAATTGATAAAATGGTAATGAAAATAATCACTTCTAACTTCTGTCATATTCTGTCTTGAAGCAATCTTGTTCAGTGACTAAGATGAGTTGGTTCCAGTAGGGAACTTTAGTTGTGCTGATTCTAGGAAATACAATGAGTATGCAGAGCCGGTGCTCTTTCATTGATTTAGGCCTGCCTTTTAGTTCTACTTTGAATGAATTCAATTAATCAAACCCATGAGAATTATATAAAGAACCGGCACATCCAACACGTCCTGCAAGTTTTTCAGCATATTAGTCAATGGGCATGCAATTTTCCCATAGTCACATACGAATCTTCGATAGTATCCCGTCAATCCTAAGAAACCTCTCAGGCCTTTCAAAGTCTTCATTGGGTTAGATCTTTCCACAAATTTAATTTGGTACTTTTGGAATTTCGATAGAACATCATCAGCCAAAATGCTTTGCTGAATGTAGAAGTAATGTGAAAGAC